CAACGAGTGCCTGTCCTACCCGTGCTTCAACGACGGGACGTGCATTTTGTCATTTTGTGAAAATTTACTTTAGCAAACACACTTTTTTTCCCATACTATACGGAATGTCCGTTGTTATGTCAAACAAACAAATAAACAAACAAACAAATAAACAAACGAATAAACAAATAAACAAACAAACTAATTAACAAACCACCACCATCATAATCTGTCCAGGAAATCAACGAGTGCCTGTCCTATCCGTGCCTCAACGAGGGGACGTGCACCGACGGCCAGGACAGCTTCAGCTGCGCGTGTGTACCTGGCTACACGGGCCCCACCTGTGCCGACAACGTGGACGACTGTGTCGGGCAACCGTGTGACGTACAGATTTCCGAGTGTCATGACCTGCTGAACAACTACTTGTGTGTCTGCAAGTCTGGCTTCACAGGTCGGTTGTTGATTGTTGTTGTTGTTATCCTACAAATGTGAGGCGTGCTGACGAAATGAGTTACTTCTCGCAATCCACAAATGGAGAAATTGGCCAAAAATTGACATTTGGGTCAAATTTGTAGATTTTCTATTGATGCCATATTCTTTAACTATAACCTGTCTTTTATTATTTCATACTTATAAATTGTAAAAACTTTACCTGTAAGTGTGAAGGTTGGAATCTGGAAAGTAATTCATTTTGTCGGCTCGCTTCCCAAATGTAGAATTGATTACATTGATTGTATGTCAAAAGACAGTATATGTGAGGCGGTCAAATCAGACGCTTGTCAAACAATAAAAGAAAAGAAAACGGCATTTTTCTGGGTGTTATGTAATTTTTTCAAATTTTCTTTTTGTGGCACAACACTTTTTATGTCCTTTTAAAATGCTGTTCTGGGTAGATTTTACCGAAAAACGTTAATTGAAGGCACAAGAATCCACTGTCCAAGGACTCTCAAACTTTGGAAGTCACCACACTTTGACAGTCATTTTCTCGCTAGTTTATCTCTCAAACCAGGCGACCCTACCACCTTCAATTACAAATATCTGGACTTCAGTTCCAGATAAAGGGGAGCGCGCTCATATGACCTTAGCAGTTGCGAGCGCCGTAAAACCCTATACTACATACATACATACAGATAAAGGGGTAGTTTTTTTGCCAAATGCAAGACAAATGAACAAACTTTAAGATGATATAAATAACTCTATATGCCCAAAAATTGATGAGCGCCTGATTCCACCGCGTCGTGACACATATTATGTCAAATCTGCTTCTAGCAGGAACAAATCAAATATGTAAAAAATATTTTTTTCCCATTCGTTGTCCTCGAAGAACTTACCTCAGCTGCCAGAGCTTCAAAGAGTCTTTCGGGGCATTATTACTGTTTGTTTAATCATATCTCAAGGACTCAAAGATAATATAATGTGTCAAATCTTCCTCCCTCAACAGCCTGTTAAATATCTTTTTCCTTTTTTTTCTCTCCCTTATTCACCTATCTCCAGGCACGTACCCGAACTGCCAGAACATCAACGAGTGTGACCTTCACATCTGCCAAAACGGAGGCGCGTGCCAGGACCTTCAGGGTGACTATAACTGTACCTGCCTGCCGGGCTACACTGGGAAAAACTGTTCTGTCAACATCGACGACTGCGACCCGGATCCCTGCCAGCATAATGCACTGTGAGTTTTGTGGTATCATTACGTTATAGACAATGAAAGATTTTGTCAGTATGTTAGTGTTTTAGCACCTATATGGCAGCTTGCACTGTATGCTTCCCAGGAACTTGAGGTTGTTTCAGAATGCTCTCGGGTCTGCTGGGGTAATTGTATAGATTGTGAAGCGCATAGAGCTTGCTGTTGAGCGGAGATTTGCGCTATACAAATGCTATCTTTGATTACCTATTTTTACGTTTCCTGAAAGTGACAAAGTTTTATCTGACATTTTTGGCCGTTTCAAGATACTAAGACCATGAGATCAGAAATCGAACGCTCTATATGCTCTATCAAAATTGTAAGATTATTCGGAAATGTTATCAAGACTTTCAAAGAATTGCAATAGAAAAAACGTGACTTGATGTGAAACTTAAAATCCTTGGCGTCAAATTTCTCCAAACTAGGTACTGAGCAGACAGATCTTTGTAATTCTGAGGTAGAGATTATTCACTGATTGATTGACTTTTGATTCTTAAAATTTTTAATTTTTTATCAAGAATTTATTCAAGTCAATTTTTATTCCAATTTGATTAATTTCTCGGCCTTTTCTGGGGTGGGAGGGTTGTGTTTCTTGTTGTGTACCTTTCTACTTTCTTTGTTTTTGTCTTTTTTCCTTCTCTAATGTTGTTGGGGCTGGTGGTGTGTTATTCTTGAAAAAAAAAGGGAGAAAAATCATCTCTCTGTCAATATTTGTGACTGTGCCTGAGATCCTATAGACACCATACCTTTGTTCATTCTACAAAGTCAAAGTGTTTTGTGCCCCCCGAGGCAGTGCTACTGACTAAAGTGTCTTTAGACCATTCCCAAAGGCGGGACATTTCTCGTTCTAATGCACAGTAGAATTGTAAATGGGCTGATCAAACAATGTCATGCTCATAACTGTGCCTGAACTACAACAGGGGACTGCTGCTTTTTCTTTCCTAATCCTTACTATCGTCATTTTCCTCTACTTCTTTTGTATGTTTGTCACACTCTTGTGACCCTCTATTTTCGGGGTGTCTTGATAGTCGAAGCAGACTTTGTGCTGTTGAAGCTAGAGAGGTGAGCAGAGTAAGCTTGATTCCCTGTAAGGACTTCACTGTTGACATCCACTCCTTGGCGCTCAAATGATCTTATGCAGCTGCGAGTGCTGCAAAAACTATACTAAAACTAAACTAAACTAAAAACGAACAAACGCGTTTTCCCCCAGATGCACAGACCTCGTCGCTGACTACAACTGCACGTGTCTGCCGGGCTACAGCGGAAAAGACTGCGGCACCGACATCAACGAATGTGAAGGTCACCAGTGCCAGAATCAGGCCAACTGCACGGACGGGGTACTTACTTACTTAATTACTTACTTACTTTCTTAGTTAATTACTCAATTACTTACTTGCTTTTTTACTTAATGACTTAATTACATACTTAATTACTTACTTGCTTTCTTATTTACTTACTCAAATACTTACTGAATTACTTAATTAAGCTAGTCAACAAAAATTAAGGAACATTTGAGAAAAAGTGTATAACTTCGAAAGCAAACTTCAACACGCAATGAAATTCGGTACACATTTTAATCAACATGTGTATAGCAAGTACCAAAAAAGAAAATTAAGTTATTCCATTTTAACTTGCTTAAAACGTTAATTGAGTTTGGTAGGGGTTAAAATCCCAAATCACAAAAATTGTCAAGCGGTTTCGAAGTTATTTTAACTTCTGACTGCAACAAAAACAAAACAGTTCAGATGATTTCAATAATGAGTATGCCCACCACAATTGTCCTGGCACTTAGTACACCGGCTCCTCATCGAGTTTATGAGGTTGGTGAATACTCTCTGAGGCGTCCCCTGCCACTCTGCCTACAGCGTCTGAAACAGTTGCTGCGCGTCTCCTGGAGGGGTGTGGTTGTCTCTGACTCGACGTTGCAGCTCATCCCAGAGGTTTTCTATGGGATTCAAGTCCGGACTGCAGGCTGGCCAGTCCATTCGGTTGATGCCAGCCTGCTGCATGAAGTTTTGGACAAGTAACGCTCTATGAGGTCGGGCGTTGTCATCCTGGTACACTGCATGTGGCACCATCTGTTGCAGAGTAGGTAGTGCTAATGGACGGAGTATCTCATCTCGGTAACGTATTGCAGTGAGATTCCCTTGCACTTGGTACAGAGGTGTTCTGTGGTTCAGACTGAAAGCACCCCATACCACCACGGAACCACCTCCAAAAGGCATCACTTCTCTGACGGCTTCATCGAGGAGCCGCTCTCCGGGTCGCCTCCAAACCCTGATACGGCCGTCATTGTGATGCAAAGAGAACCGGGACTCGTCGCTGAAGAGAACGTTTGCCCACTGTTGACGTGTCCATCTTACTTGGCGTCGCCAAAAGGCAAGACGAGCTGCCCTGTGTACTGGGGTGAGACGCTGGCGGACTGCTGGTCGACGTGCATTAAGTCCAAACTCATGAAGACGTCTTCGTACTGTCTGACAACTTATGTTAACACGAGTTGCCGCTCTCAGCCGTGTCCGCAATGCGATTTTCTGGAGCGTATCTCGACTGCGGAGCTTGTTTATGAATGAATCGGTCTTCTCTTGCATTAGTGGCTCTTGGTCGACCTGATCTGGGTCGCTCTTGGGCACTACCAGTGGCGTTGGCACGCTGAATCAGCCGTGAAATGACAGAAACGGACACTCGAAGACGTGTAGCAACTTGTCGGAGTGAAACACCATCTTGTACCTAAGCAATGGATCGTCCTCTGTTTACATCAGACAATTTCTGTCGAGGAGGCATGTTTATGCTTAGCCCTACAGCAGCAGAATCGTGTATCCACAGTGAAAATGAGCGAGTGCAAGTCACTAACGAGACATGAATCTTGCAATTGAAAACTGATTTTTGAGCGTTCATAATTTTTTCTGACGGTAAGAGCTAGAGAATAAAAATCGATAATTGGAAAACATTGGACCTTTTTGCCCCCTCCCCAGCTCATCGCACAGGAGTCACGTGCACTTCAAACCCTGGTGTGTACAAGCCCATTAGTCAGAGAGTAACATTTCACCAATATCTAGTTTTTCTAGTTAAAGTAAAACCTCGAAAGAATGCATGCAAATATATCACTGTTTTTACAGTACGTTCCTTAACTTTTGTTGACTAGTTTACTTAATTAGTTACTTACTTTCTTACTTACTTACTACCTTACTTACTTACTTACTTTTTAATTACTTACTTACTTACTTACTTACTTACTACCTTACTTACTTACTTACTTACTTACTTACTTACTTACTTACTTACTTACTTACTTACTTACTTACTACCTTACCTACCTACCTACCTACCTACCTACCTACCTACCTACCTACCTACCTACCTACCTACCTACCTACCTACCTACCTACCTACCTACCTACCTACCTACCTACCTACCTACCTACCTACCTACCTACCTACCTACCTACCTACCTACCTACCTACCTACCTACCTACCTACCTACCTACCCACCTACCCACCTACCCACCTACCCACCTACCCACCTACCCACCTACCCACCTACCTACCCACCTACCCACCTACCTACCTACCTACCTACTTACCTACCTACTTACCTACCTACTTACCTACCTACTTACTTACTTACTTACTCCAGCCTTTGTTATCTAATGGTGCTGAGGGGATAAGCAAATATCTTTCTCTTGTTTCTTCTGTTGTCTGCCGCACATTAAACAAATTTGTATCTGATGTTTCCCTGTTTTCTGGGCCAACTGTGCAGATGGGGGGGAGAATAGCAAATACATCCCTTTTTTTCTTTCTTATCATGTTTAGTTTGTAGAGAATGTTATAATGATTAAAAGAAACTTGTGTGTATTTCCTTGTGCCAGGTCGCGGAGTACACCTGTGATTGTGTGCCAGGTTGGACGGGCGTGCTCTGTGAGGCAGACGTGAACGAGTGCGACCCTGACCCCTGCGAAAACGGAGCCACCTGCCTCAACCTGCGGAATGCCTTCAACTGTACCTGCCGCCTAGGGTTCAGAGGTCAGTCCGTCATATCGCGACGCGACGACTCTAGGGCTTTCTTGTTGTATCTCTGTTTTTAATAACAGTGAAAACGGTTCATAACAAAGAGTGAGCTGAAAAAGAAGTCCCATTTTCACTGTTTAAAAAAAATAGAGATACGACAAGAAATAGTGAAAACAGTTCATAACAAAGAGTGAGCTTCAGAAGAAGTCGCATTTTCACTGTTTAAAAATGTAAAGATAGGACAAGAAAGCACTGTGGTCGCGATATGTTTGTACCCACTGAACAGACTTCAGAAAGTGTTGCAGTCTTTTCATACTTTTTTTGTTTCTTCTCAGTTTTTTTTTTTTTTTTTTTATAATTCATTTTTTTTTTTCTGGTGCAGGTGTGTTCAAGTTTGTATGTTCATCTTTTTAGAAGAAAGATGGGTGGTTGGTGGGTGCTCTGGTGTGGTTTGCACCTTCTTTCCTATCACATATCTATCATCCTTATCTCTCCTCCTTCTTTTTCTGTGTATATTGCTCTATAGTAATACCTCTATTCTTCTGCACTTATATGACCACTTTATGTTGCAAATGCTTCAACAAAATTATTATTTGAATAAAATCTGACACAGGTGTATTCACATTTAGTATGGTCATTTTCTTAGGATTAAGGATTTTGTTTTTTATTGTTCTGATTTTGTTGTTGTTTTATAAAAAACATTTTACAATGGCCATTGTCAGGCATTGATAGAAGAACTATTATTATTATTATTATTATTATTATTATTATTATTATTATTATTATTATTTATTATTATTATTATTATTATTATTTTTTTATATTATTATTATTATTATTGTTATTATTATTACTTCTGTTATTATTACTATTATTACTATTATTATTGTTATTATTATTTTATCATTATTATTTCCTTAATAATTATTATTGTTGTTGATATTCTTATACTTTTTCTTCTTTTTCTTCTTCTTCTTATTATTATTACATTTTGCAATGAAAGTTTTTCGACCAACTCCTACATTCCCGCCAAACTTACCCCCCCCCCCAGGTCCAACATGTGGAGAGAACATTGACGACTGTGACCCTGACCCTTGCCTCAACGGGGCGCTGTGTGTGGACGGCGAGGCAGACTACTTCTGTAACTGTACCAGGTGAACTAGCCACACAGATACAGCTGTGTTACAGTAATCATGATGATAATAATAGTAATAATAATGATATTAAAATAATAATAATAATAAAAATAAAATAATAAAAATAATTTTTAAAATAAATAAAAAATAATAGTAATAATAATGATGATGATGATGATAATAATAATAATAATAATAATGATGTAGGCACATTGTGCTCGGTGGTGTGTTGGTAATCGCATGAGATGTCTGAACTACGTGTAATTCTATAAAGTCTAAATCTGACCGTTTCCTTCTGCAGTGACTGGATGGGGAAGAACTGCTCCGACGTTTACGACGCCTGCTCCTTCGAACCGTGCCAGAACAACGCGACGTGCAGCACCCTTCCTCCGAGGCAGGATTACGCTTGCAGCTGTTTGCCAGGTTTTACTGACAGCAACTGCCAGACGAACATCAACGAATGTCTGAACAACGATTGCTTGAGCTTCCAGCAATGTTATGATGGCATTGACAGCTTCACCTGTGCTTGTCCTATAGGTAAATTTCTTTTGATTATGATTATTGTCTGTTATTCAAAAGCCTTGTCTACCCCCCGGGGCGGTGCTACTGACTGAAGTGTCTTTAAGCCATTCCCAAAAGGGGGACATTAATCATGTTCTTATGTACAGTAAAATTGTAATTGTAAATGGACTGATGCATCAATGTCATTCTCATAACTGTGCCTGAACTGCAACAGGGTACTGCTGCTTTTTCTTTCTTAATCCTAACTATCGTCATTTTCCATTTATTTCTTTTGTATGTCTGTCACACTCTTGTGACCCACTATTTCCGGGGTGCCTTGATAGTCGAAGCAGACTTTGTGCTGTTGAAGCTAGAGAGGTGAGCAGAGTAAGTCTGATTCCCTGTAAGGACTTCTCTGTTGACACCCACTCCTTGGCACTCCTATGACCTTATGCAGTTGCGAGTGCTGTAAAACCTCTACAAAAACAAGACAAAAGCATTGTCCTATAGGTAAATTTCTTTTGATTATAATTATTATAACCCTTATCTCTCTTCTTTCTTTTTTTGTTTGTTTGTTACTCTCTTGTAACACCTCTAGTCTTCGGCACTTATATGACCTTATTGTGTTGCAAGTGCCGTAAAACTTTTACTAAAACTAAAAAACTCTCTTCCTTCTTTTTTTGTGTTTGTTACTCTCTTGTAACACCTCTAATCTTCAGTACTCATGTGACCTTATTGTGTTGAAAGTTCCGCAAAACTCTTACTAAAACATTATTTCGTCTCCACTTTCTGCCCCCACCCCCTCACCTACTTTGCCCCCTCCTCTGGGCTCCTAACTCTCTCTGCAGCCTTTATACTACCACTCCTTTGCTCCTTCTTCTGCTGTCTTTCAGCCACACCCTAGATCTTCTGGTAGGAATAATCTACCCCTCGCCTTCTCGGACAAGGCCGAAAAATCTCGGAGGTCCCGTGTGCAAGTTGCGTGCGTTAAAGATCCGTTGGTTGTCTAAAATCAACAAGAGTGGGCTTCGGCCGCCACCCAAGCAAAATTCAAAGTTTCCTACCAACTGAAAATGTTTGGTGTGTTCGGCACGCTCATGTGACCTTATGCAGTTGGGAGGGCCGCAAAACACTTGTGGTTGGTTGGCGGGTGCTCTGGTGTGGTTTGCTCCTTCTTTCCTATCAAACATCTATCGTCCTTATCTCCCCCTCCTTCTTTTTTATGTTTGTTACTTTCTTGTAACACCTCTAATCTTCTGGCGCTCAAATGACCTTATGCAGTTGTGAGCGCCGCAAAATACTTATGGTTGGTTGGCGGGTACTCTGGTGTGGTTTGCTCCTTCTTTCCTATCAAACATCTATCGTCCTTATCTCCCCCTCCTTCTTTTTTATGTTTGTTACTTTCCTGTAACACCTCTAATCTTCTGGCGCTCAAATGACCTTATGCAGTTGTGAGCGCCGCAAAATACTTATGGTTGGTTGGCGGGTGCTCTGGTGTGGTTTGCTCCTTCTTTCCTATCAAACATCTATCGTCCTTATCTCCCCCTCCTTCTTTTTTTATGTTTGTTACTCTCTTGTAACACCTCTAATCTTCTGGCGCTCATATGACCTTATGCAGTTGGGAGCGCCGTAAAATCTCTACTAAAACTAAACTAAGCAAAACACTTACCAAAAAAAAATAAAATAAAAAATAAAACATTGCTTCTCCCCTTGTCCCAGGTTTCACAGGTGCCCAGTGTGAGACGGACATCAACGAGTGTGAGCCCAACCCCTGCGTGCAGAACGAGACCTGCCACCAGGTGGGCTACGGGGACTACAAGTGTGACTGCGAGCAGGATTTGGTGGACATTCGGCAGTGAGTATCCCATCAGAGATAGACGTGAGACTGAATATCCCATCAGAGATAGACGTGAGACTGAGTGGGCTATCCTGTCAGAAATATTGGATTTACTTGACATTAGACAGTGATAGGTATCACATCAGAAGTAGGGGATGTAATGAACAAAAGACAGTGATATCCCATCAGAGATAGACTTGAGACTGAGTATCCCGTCAGAAATAGATCCGAGACTGAGTATCACATCAGAGATAGACATGAGACGTGAGTATCACATCAGAGATATTGGCAGTAAGGGCAGTCAATGGCTAATTTTGGTGAGACAAGGGACATAACTGTGATATCGCTGTCTCATAAATTCAACAGAGTTAAATTCCTTTTAGGTAAATTTAGTTGTGTGGAGTTACAATGCTAATAATAATAATAATAAGATTTTATTCTTCTCTCACACTCTCACATACAAAAACTGCAACTGTGTGTTATTTTTGTGAGAAGTAAAGAGAATTTGTCTAGTTAATTTTTGTCCCCATCACAAAATAATGATTCTACTTTGTCTCCATTCAGAACCCTTGCATAATATATTTTCTTTATTTCCTGAAAATGGATTGTTGGCGGTTGCTATGGTGTGGTTTGCTCCTTCTTTCCTCCTATCATCCTGATCTCTCCTCCTTGATTTTTGTGTTTGTTACTCTTTCATAACACCTCTAATCTTTGGCACTTTAATGACCTTATTGTATTGCAAGTACCATAAAACATTTACTAAAACTTAAAAAAATAATGATTCTGATGTCAATGTGCTTTACTTCGTCACCGTTCTGAGCCCTCACACAATTTACTGTCTTTATTTCCTACAAGTGGGTGGTTGGCAGGTGCTGTGGAGTGGTTTGCCCCTTCTTTCCTATCAAACATCTATCGTCCTGATCTCTCCTCCATCTTTTGTGTGTGTTTGGTTGTCTCTCATAGCACCACTAATCTTTGGTACTTCTTATATGACCTTATTGTGTTGCAAGTGCCGTAAAAACTAAGTTACTTATACAGTTGCGAGCGCCGTAAAACTCTTACTAAAAACAAACAAAAAAACTAAGTTATTAAAGCTACTAAACTTCTTATTCCCTACTACAGCCTGATCGGAGAGAAAGGCCTGTTCCTCACGGGCTACACAGGCAAGAACTGCGAGATCGACATCAACGAGTGCGAATATACGGACCCGCCGTTCTGTCAGGGTGGCAGCACGTGTCGCAACGAGCCACCTGGGAAGTTTATCTGCGACTGCGGGGACATGCCCACGGAGGACGGGAATTTCCCCTTTGGTAAACTTCACATTTGTCTCGTTTTTGTCTTGGGCATTGTGGCTTCTGTCGTGTAATTGTAACCACGCATCATTATGCTGGATATCGGACTGAAATTATGAATTAAACAAAAAAAAAAGCAAATATGTCTGTATAATCCTTTTTACTCTCTCGATATATTATAATAACAGAGTATTTACAGTATTTATTCGTGGATGGTTGGCGGGTGCTCTGGTGTGGTTTGCTCCTTCTTTCCTATCAAACATCTATCGTCCTTATCTCCCCTTCTTCTTTTTTTATGTTTGTTACTCTTCTGTAACACCTCTAATCTTCTGGCGCTCATATGACCTTATGCAGTTGCGAGTGCCGTAAAACTCTTACTAAAACTAAACATTATTTATTCATCTCACATGTAGTGTTATGTATATGTCATTCACTTCCAAATTGGAAAATTTACGGAAACAAAGTTCATTAGGTTAACGCTGAAAAAAATCCAGATCCATGGAACAGAAAACTGTGACTTGTTGAGATGGAAAAGGAAAAAAGAGAGAGAAAATGTTGGGGGTTTTTCTGGTCAAGGGTTTGCTGTATAGGCTCTGTTCCGAAAAATATGAGGCAACGTAGTGAAATCAGGCGCTCGTCAAAATAAGGAAATCAAAGAAACAGGCATTTTTCCTACAGTTTAGGCTAGCCAGTTTTATAGAATTTTTGTTTTGAGGCTCAACGCCTTTTATGTCCATATAAAAACACATTTCTATGTGGATCTTACTGAAAAGCGTTGATTAAAGGTACAAAATATATGTAAATTTTCAATTTTCAAGGACTCTCAAACCATTAAAGTTACCAGAATTTTACCTCTGAAACCAGGCAATCACAAATATCTTGACTTCTATTCAAGATAGATAGAAAGATACTTTTTTAAAGTCGAAAACATGTCAAATGAGCAAGCTTTAAGATGATACCAGTAACTCCATATGCCCAAAAATTGACGTGGGTGGTTGCGGGTGCTCTTGTGTGGTTTCCTCCTTCTTTCCTATCAAACATTTGTCATCTTTATCTCCCCTTCTTTTTTTTTTTGTTTGTTACTCTCTTGTAACACTTCTAATTTCCGGCACTTATATGACCTTATTGTGTTGCAAGTGCCGTAAAACGCTTACTAAAAAAAAAAAAAAGATAGAAAGGTACTTTTTTCTACTGAAAACATGTCAAACAAACAAGCTTTAAGATGATACCAGTAACTCCACTTACCAAAAAATTGAAGAGCGCCTGATTCCATCGCGTCGTGGTACAATAAATGCGAAAGCCGTTGACCTTTGACTTGTTGACCTTCTTATTAAAGTCCCGGATGTCCTCTCTCCTCCTTCTTCTACAGGCCGGTTGTGCGAGACGACGCGCTCCTACTGCGACGGCGCCGAGGTGTGTCAGCACGGAGGGACGTGTGTACCATTGCTGGTAGGGCGGCGATGTGAATGCGCTCCTGGCTACACAGGTTGGTTCAGAGAATTTTTCATATTAAACAAAAATTGATGTATCATTTATGAGAAGTGTGCTGACAAAATGAGTGCATCTTCGGCACTCATATGACCTTATTGTGTTGCAAGTGCTGTAAAACTCTTACTAAAACATTACTCATAACCCCCCCTCCTCCCCTTCCCCCTCCCCCTCCTCTCCCTCCCCCTCCTCTCTCTCCCCCCTTCCTCCAGGAGACAACTGCGAGATCAACATCGACGAGTGTGCTCCCCAACCCTGCGACTACAACAGCACATGCATCGACGGTGTCAACGGCTACACGTGTGAGTGCGTGCCGGGCACCACAGGTTTCAACTGCTCTGTCAACATCGACGACTGCCAGTCGGAACCCTGCCTGCACGGTGGCCAGTGTGACGACTTGCTCCAGAAGTGAGTACAGCTGACCTACTGTTCTCAATTATTCACAAACTGTATATACAAGTTGTTCTCATCATCAACCGGTGCTTTGCCAACTGGCGTGGGCAATCATGGACCTACACTTCCATCTGTCTTGGGTTGCAGCGATGGTGTCTGTTGTTCTTGCTGCTCCCAGCCATGTTGTCAACTTGTCCAGTATCTTTTCCCTCTGTCTGCCTCTACCTCTCTTTCCATCAAACTTGTCTGTTATTACATTATTCTTCAATAATTCTTTCGGCATTGTGTGTGTCCAATGAAATTTGCTTGTCGCTTTCATATATATTCATCATAAGCTCTCATCTGCTATTTGCTTGAACCAAGACTTCTTCAAGTTGTTTTACCTTGTTGTAAATGTGCTACGAGGGACTTTTCCTGTGGTTTGGATAATCTGAAATGGAATATTCTCCTCACTGTTTATGTTTTTATATTCTCACACCCTTCCCCTCCCCTCCTCCTTCCTTTTCCAAATTATCTACATAACAATAACTGTATTCCTCAATCCGTCCTACCCTTCAACCCAATTCATACCCAAAGTTTGTCTGTAATTCATACCCTGACTTTTTATTTGTCTGCATTCAAAAATATATCTTCAGTTCATATCCCAACTTTTTATTGATCTACATTCGAAAGTATATCTTCGATTCATGCCCTGACTCTTTTTTTATCTACATTATAAAGTGTGCCTTATATTCACGAGTTAAATTCTCATTTGTTTAGCTGTGAATGATCTTTGCAACTTTTAAATATAGATGTACCGTTTCACAATTTTCTTGTTTAGAGCAAGCACTTTTTTCGTCGTTCAATAAACACTTATGGATAATGCTTATTTCTCAATATGATAATGAACTAGATTTGCATTTTGCAAATCCCGAGTTTCTCTTTATATTTGCTTTTTGTCTCTTGAAGCTATGTTTGCTTATTGATAATTCTGATGTTTGGAGTAACGCTTGGTAATGAACATAAAACACCGATGGAAAGCTGCTGCTTATTTTTGCTCTAGGATCATGGGTTCTTTTTTTCCTTGTCATTGCTCACAAAGCTGCTTTAGTTATTGCTTGTAGTTGGAAAAATCCTTCGTTTAGTATTTGTTACTTTCTTGTAATACCTCTAATCTTCAGCACGTATAGGACCTAATTGTGTTGCAGGTGCCGTAAAACATTTATCAAAGCAAACTCAGTACATGATGTGTGGATTTTTAGATTATCTGTCACTTTTTATTCAGTTCACTGATCACAGAGGCTGCTTTTAACTTACTGACTTCAGAGGCTAATTTTGACTAGGTGGTTCAATAGACCACTGTTGATTGATTCTGGGTCAGCCCACTTTTGATTCATTGATGCAATAGAACACTTTTGACTGATTGGCTGGTTGATTCTCGAGCCACCATCTCTTGACTGATTTATTCTAGAGTCCATTGTTGACCGATTGATAGTAAGCGCTATTTTTGACCGAGTGATTGTAAGCGCTACTTTTGGCAGATTGATTGCAAGGGCTACTTTTGACCGATTGATTGTAATCGCTACTTTTGACTGAGTGATTGTAAGGGCTACTTTTGACTGTTTGATTGTAAGGGCTATTTTTGACTGTTTGATTGTAAGGGTTATTTTTGACTGTTTGATTGAAAGGGCTACTTTTGACCGATTGATTGTAGGCCCTACTTTTGACCGATTGATTGTAAGCGCTACGTTTGACTGTTCCAGGCAAGACCCAGAATGTTTACTGTCACTGCAGAACCCCAATGTTACAGTGGGTTCGGGTTCCATCTCTGCCTGGTACTGGCTTGCTTGTTTCGTTTGCTGTAGTCTTTTGTGGATGCACGGACACGATTGTTGGATTGCTCAAACAGTGCTTGTGTGTAGGCCTCTCACCCTTCCCTCACCTCCTACCCCCCTCCCCTCCCCCTCCCATCCTCTTTCCCCAAATTCTTTCAGTTAGGGGTGCCACTTTTCAGAACTACTAGAGATTTTGGGTAGGCAGTTGGTGGGTGGGTGGTTGGCAGGTGCTCTAGTGTGGTTTGTTCCTTCTTTCAATTCAAACAAATATGGTCCTTCTCTCTGCTCCTTTTTTTTCAGATGCCACTTTCTAGGAACACCTCTAATGTTCGCACTTCTACGACCTATTTGTGTTGCAATTGCTGTAAAACGTGCACTAAAACTAAACTGTCTGACTTAACAAACACAATGCAGGAGTTCCCAATGAAAGCTCAGTTTTGTATGCACTTTTGTGCACCTTGTTTTAATTGAATACACTGGTTCCTTTGTTGCTCAGAGGTCTTGAAGTGGGTGTTGTTGGGTGCTCTGGTGTGGTTTGCTCCTTCTTTCCTGGAAAAAAATCTATCGTCTCTATCTCCCCTCCTTCTTTTTTGTCTTTGTTACCCTCTTGTAACACCTCTAGTCTTCGGCACTTATATGACCTTATTGTGTTGCAAGTGCTGTAAAACCTTACTAAAACTAAACTAAAGAGGTCTTGACTGCAAACGGTGTTGTTTGTTGCCCGTGTTGTTTTGACGACTGCACCAAGATTTGCTGTGTGTATAGACTGCCTCATTGCTGAAATGTTGTCTGTATTGTGAGTGTCATTTGTGAAGAGTTCATGCCATGATTAGTGACACTGTGACTTGACAAATGTCGTAACAGTAAAAAGGTACCTGAGACATTAAATTGTTGTTTGTTGCATCTTGCGTATTTGTTCTGCAAATGTAAGATAAGGTTTTTATTATCACCGTCTTTCCACAAGTGCATAACTGTATTCTTTTTGGTCGTTTTGTTTTGAGACAATTAAAGAAAAAGGCTTTTGAAGTTTATAAAAAATTATAGATAGAGACTTTTGAAGTTTTGAGAGGATTTTTTAAAAAAAGAAGCTGACCAAATCAGAACCATATTTTTGGCACTCATTGTTTTTCAACTGAAAAATAGGAAGGAAATAACAAAACTGTATCAATGTGAGATGCCTTTGATGTCTTTATTGGAAGAACAGCTTTATCTGGAGACCTTCAAACATTGATTTGATTCATTGTGGCATGATGCCTACAATATTATATTATATCGTCTCGCTCATTCGATAATTGTCTAAGTCATTCTGAGAGCAAACTGAGCTATGGCCACATCTAGATAATTTGATTAGTTCCCCAAAACTTCTGTCAAGTATTGTTTTAAACTTTGAATTTTGATAAAACAAAATAAAATGTTTTAAAAAAGAAATATGTGTGCCATGTCTGTTTTGTAAGTGCAACTGTTTTTGATACTTTTTACAAAACGCCAAAAAATGATTTAGGCACTTATCAAATGAGCGTGAAGATTTATAAGTTTATTAAAGATTAGGGTAGGGTTATGGCTATGGTTATGGGTTGGGTAAGAGTAATCCTTATCCTATCCCTTTCCCTTCCGCGAACCCTAATTCTAACATTAACTTTTAACTCTTATCCTTACCTTATTACCTGTATCGAGCAAATGTGAAGAAAAGTTGCAGATCTGGAAGAAAGCCTAGCTTTGCTAGCTTTGCTCTAGTTTTGGTATGAATGAACAGACAAAACGGAAGACTGACCAATGATTGTCTCCAGTTTCTGCCGTTCACTGTAGTCAAAGGAGCACCGCTGGGAAATGTTCCAAATGTGCACGTTTTATTCCACATTTGCTGGGTTCGGGTAATAAAGTTAGGGTTATGGTTGGGGTTAGGATTGGGGGTATTGGTAGGGTAAGGATAACTTTACCCTAACTGTTGCCCTTACCCAAGTCCAACCTTAACCCTTACATTATTACTGGAATCCAGCAAATGTGAATAACACATAAACATATGGAAGATTGCCCTGTTTTATTTGAAGGGTTTAGTTTGTATTAGGGAATTATCTTTTGCTAATATATTGAGATGGAAATCTTTTATAGTTTGACAGAAATTGTTCTTTTGCAGAAAAGTATTGTTTCCATGTGTCTCATGTGTATTATATACTATTGTTGTCAGAATGATCCATTCAAATGTATGCAAAGAGCTCAAGATTCTCTTTATTGATAGCTGTTTTATTTTCTGTCTTTTTATGGATTCCTTGCGTGCCTCTTAATTCACCCTATTCTCTTCACAGGTACATCAAACCCATAAAATGTTAAACCATTATCTACCCTGTGGTGTATGTCTTGATTTTTTTTGTGGGTTGATAGCTTGTGTTCTAGTGTGGTTTGCTCCTTCTTTCCTATCACACATGTATCGTCCCTATTTCTCTTCCTTCTTTTTTTTTGTGTTTGTTACTCTCTTGTAACACCTTTAATCTTCAGCACTTTGTGTTGCAAGTTCTGTAAAACTCTCTCTCAGACTCAAACTGTGGGTGGTTGGCGGGTACTCTAGTGTGGTTTGGTCCTTCTTTCCTCGCTAAAACTAAAACGAAAACTTTCCTATCAAACATCTATCGTCCTTATCTGTCCTCCCTCTTTTTTGTGTATGTTACTCTCTTGTAACACATCCATTCTTCAGCACTTATATGACCTTATTGTGTTGCAAGTGCCGTAAAACTCATACTAAAACTAAACTAAAAGACTCAAACTTGCTTTTTGTAATTTTTTCTAGCTTCAGCTGCAATTGCACGGACACAGGTTTCTTCGGCGACCAGTGCGAGCACAATATCGACGATTGTGTCGAGTTTCCCTGTGTGAACGGAGGAACTTGCGTTGACGGTGTCAAGGTTGGTCCGTCTTTAGCTTTTTTAAAATGTAGATGTTTTATACTATATGACCTCATTGGGTGGGTGGTTGGCAGGTGCTCTTGTGGGGTTTGCTCCTTCTTTCCTATCAAACATCTATCGTCCTTATCTCCCCTTCTTCTTTTTTATGTTTGTTACTTTTTTGTAACACCACTAATCTTCTGGCGCTCATATGACCTTATACAGTTGCGAGCGCCGTTAAACCTCTACTAAAACTAAAACTGTTATTTGTAGCGTCGGTGGCCTAGTGAATAGGCTCTCGTGAGGTCATGAGTTCAAATCTCGTCAGGAGCTTGACGATGTGTCCCTGGGAAAGGCACTTTACTCGAATTTTCCTCACTTCACCCAAGTGAGAATGGGTACCCAGCTATAGACAGCGAAAGATCTTGTCAGTTCATTAGTGTTTGAGCGCTTAATCAGCTGCTTGCACTGAATGCTTCCCGGGTAGCTGAGATGAATATTTCTGAGTGTTTTATGGTCCGTTGGGGTAATAATATAGTGTAAAGTGCATAGAGCTTGCTGTTGAGCCGGGGTATGCTCTATACAAATGCTATTTATTATAATTATGCCATATTGTATGCGCAACGAATGGGCTCATGATAGGAGGGACTGGTTTCCCACATAAACAGATACACAAATCAACATGGGTGTCGCCAGACCAACAAACTGAAAACCAGATTGACCACATATGTGTCAACAAGAAATTCAAGAGATCAATAAGGGATGTTAGAGTTTACAGGGGTGCATCATCTGCTCATTTCAACAATCCGACTAAAACTAAAGCGAAGACAGGGAATTGTCAATAATCATAGGTACCGGTACAAAATGGAATTTCTGAGAGAGCCATCGTCAAGAGAGGAGTTTAATGTAGCAGTTAAGAACAGGTTCCAAGCGTTGGAAACACAAGGCGAGGATAGCAGCATGGAAGAAACATGGATCTTCAAAGCTGAGGATCTTCAAAACAAATGTGAAGACTGTTCTACTGTATGGTTCAGAGACACGGAGGCTCATAGCATCAGCAGCAAGGAAACTGCAGAGCTTCGTAAATGGATGCCTACGAAGGATAGTGGGGATCAAGTGGTACGGTCGAGTCACTAATGCTCAACTGTGGGAGAGAACATGCCAAAGGCCAATAAAGGAAGACATACAGGTGAAGAAATGGAAATGGATTGGACACATCCTGAGGAGACCCCCGTCAAGCATCATCAGGCAGACTTTAACATGGAACCCACAAGGAAAACGTAAGAAGGGAAGACCAAAGATGACATCGAGGCAAGCAGTACAAGCGGAAATTGAAAAAGCGGGGACATCATGGAAACAGATAGAAAAGGATGCTCAGAACAGGCTTCACTGGAGTAATGCTGTTGATGGCCTGTGCTCCACTGGGAGTTAAAAAAAGGGCAAGAGAGAGAGAAGAGAAGAGATATTGTATGTAAACCGACTTTTCTCGTACAGAATTTCACCTGTTGCTGTACCGTACTATACTATTACTTACTTATCTCATCCAGAATTTCACCTCTATACACATGTGCCATTCTGTACGTAATCTGACATTTCACATCCAGAATTTCACCTGCCGTTATGGTATACTGTACTTTTACTGGCATATCTCATCTAGAATTTCACCTCTATATATTATTATATATATACGTGCCATACTGTACTTAAACCGACATTTCTCGTCCAGAATTTCACCTGTCACTGTTCTATACTGTACTTTAAGCAACATTTCTCGTCCAGAATTTCACCTGCTGTTTTGCTATAGGCCTACTGTACTTTTACCGACATTTCTTGTCCAAAATTTCACCCGTTGTGGTATGCTGTACGTAAAACAACATATCTCGTCCAGAATTTCACCTGTGGCTGTTTTATACTCTACTATTACTGGCATATCTCATCTGGAATTTCACCTCTATATATATATGCGCCATACTGTATTTTAACCGACAAATCTCATGCAGAATTTCACCTGTCGTTATGGTATACTGTATTTTAACCGACATTTTTTCGTCCAGAATTCAACCTTAACATATATGCGCGATACTGTACTTAATACTTAGCACAGGACCGAAACCTGCACCTCCCCTCGACATCCTAAGGATACCAGAGGAAGTAAAAAGTTAAAGTAAAGTACTGTACTTAAACCGACATTTCTCGTCCAGAATTTCACCTGTCTTTGTGCCATACTGTATTTTAACTTTTAACTGACATTTCTCGTGCAGAGTTTCACCTGTCGTTATGGTATTCTGTATTTTAACCGACATTTCACGTCTAGAATTTCACCTGTCGCTGTCTGCCCGGGTACGCGGGAGAGACGTGCAATGTGGACATCCCTGAGTGCGCCGTGAAGCCGTGCTGGTACAACAGTACCTGTCTGGAGTACTCTGATGTCAGTCTCTACGACATGGGAAACCCCAACTTTGTGGACTTCAGCTTTGAGAAGGCTGCCGGATACCTGTGTGTGTGTGTGCCGGGGGCTACAGGTGAGTGTGTGTGTGTGTGTTTGTGTGTGTGTGTGAAAGAGAGAGGGAGAGAGAGAGAAGGAGAGAGAGAGAGGGGGGGGGGAGAGAATGAGAGAGACTGAATAATAAAGAAGTAGAGTATGCGATTGTATTATTAAAATTTTTCTTTTTAAGTAGTTCAGCCTAGCACAGAGGTCAGTTGATGTTTGTCTTTGTTTTTGTCAGGCAAAAATTGCTCGGTGGACATAAATGAATGTGCCGCAGACCCGTGCCAGAATCACGCGACTTGTGTTGACAAATTCAACGACTTTGACTGCTCTTGCGCGCCGGGATACGAAGGGGACCTCTGTGAAACGGAGATCGACGAGTGCGCAGTTCTCTCCCCTTGCAAGAACAACGGCCAGTGCCAGGATATGCTCGCGGACTACAACTGCACGTGTCCCGTGCCGCGAGCCAATCAGCGGAACTATGGCGGGAAAAACTGCACCACATTCCTGCAGGGTTGCCAGGGCGCTTCGAATTGCAGGTCAGTGTAGTAGTTTGAAAATGTTCGACCCATGAGAAGAGATATGTGCACAACCTGTACTTTTTCATTTCGGAAACTTTATTTAATAAATGGGTGTTTTATGTGATGTGATGTGGGCCAAAGGCCTTAAACAGTGAATTACCTTACTTTGTAACTTTCAAAGTTTTTGATAATGATAATAATAATAATAATAGCAATAGCCTGTCCGTCAGTTCTGACGATGACCAATCCAACTGCAGAGGAGAATATGAGAGGCATCGTGGGGAAATCAGGCCCTCGTCAAAATAATGAAATTGAAGAAACAGGCATTTTTCTGCCCGTTTGGTAATTTTTATCAAATTTGTGGTTTTTGTTTTTTGACTGAACACCTTGTTTATGTCGATATAAAAACAAACATGTGAGTTTTACTCAAAAATGTTTAAAGCCACAAAATATGACAATTTTCAATTTTCAAGGACTCTCAAGCTATTGAAGTTACCAACCTTTAGCGGCTATTTTTTCGCTAATTTTACTGCTGAAACCAGGCGACCCCACCTCCTTCAGTCACTAGCATCTTGACTTCTATTCAAGATAAAAGGGTACTTTTTTCATTGACAGCAATGTAAATGAATAAGCTTTCAGATGATACCAATCACTCCACACGCCCAAAAATTGACAAGCGCCTGATTTCACCGCATCGTGACACATATTTTAGTAGTGATATGAAGATAACGATTAACCGACGTCTTTATGCAAACTTTTTTTTCCCTCCACCAACCAGATATGGCGAATGTATTCCGGTGCTGGTCTCAGAAGTCCCCGAGGAGCACTCGTACCGGTGTGTGTGTGACCCCGGCTACACGGGGCGAAACTGCGACATGTCCACCGTCATCAGCTTCAAGAAGAGCCACTACGTCATGGAGGAGGTTCTCTCCCCTCACTTTGACCTCAGCCTCCGTTTCCGCACCACTTTGTCCAGCGCCACGCTCGTCCTGAGCAAGTTCTCCGCCCGAGTGTTTGTGTATGTTCAGCTGCTCAACGGGAAGGTGGGTTACGTTGTTTGTTATGTCATTTATAGGATTCCTGCGGCCTCCTGGAATTCAAGGAGTCCTTGAAAACTCCTTGAATTTGCATTCAAGGGAAAATTTCTTTGAAAACTCCTTGAATTTGAGGAACCTCCTTAAAAAATCTTTGAGTTTGAGGAACCTCCTTGAAAACTCCTCGAATTGCGTCGGATCGGACATGAACAAAATTTTTGTCGGATTGCTCTTGGTGCACCGTCGAAAATGGCATGAATTTCTTGACCAAATCTCCTTGAATTTTAAAAATATTTCCTTGAAATCTCCTTGAATTTGGTGGGGAGTTCATGACAGAAACCCTGTATTTTTTATAGTAAGGTTTTACGGTGCTCGCAATTGCATAAAGTCATATGAGTCCCAAGGGGTGGATGTCAACAGAGAAGTCCAGACTGTTTGAGTGTGAGAGTTTTGCAGCACTTGCAACTCAAATAGGTCGTATAAATGCTGAAGATTAGAGGTGTTACTACTAGAGATAAACATGCAAAGAAAAAGACGGAGGAGAGATAAGGACGACAGATGTTTGGTAAGGAAGAAGGAGCAAACCACACCAGAGCACCTGCTTGGACTTATTTTGAGGCGGTGAATGGAATTATTCTGAAAATTCTAAACTTAAAACTGATCATTTGTCAAAACCATTAAGATGTGACGCTGTTTACAAAAAAAATAATTTTTCATTGAAACCTTCAAGTATTTTATGAAGTGAGTGAGCATTGTCTTTATCTCCACCCCCTACCCCATACTCCCTCC